CTGGCCCTGGAAAGCTGGGGAAGACCTGGAGCTGCCTTGAAGGCACACAGGACCTACCTCATGCTGTGCTGACCCTTGCAGAGGGGCACTTTATACATTAGCCAGGCAGTGGCAGGGCTGGAGCCACAGCTGAAGCAGCTCCAGGCATAGCTTGTCCTTGCACGGTAAGCCAGGGAGCAGAGCCCCATGCTGTGTGTGTGTGAGGGCTCTGGCTGAAACTGAACTGATGGGGAGTGATGCTGTGCAGAGTTGGAGGTGGAGCTGGGATGTGTGGGCAGCAGGCACCAACACTCAAGTGGAAGTCAGTTGGTGGGCTGGACCTATGTGTAGTCCAGTGCTTATCCAGGCCATAACCATGGTCTCTCCTTGTTCTGCAGTGCCATGGCCTCTCCGTGGAGGGCTTTGTTCTCCCCTCTTCAACAACCAGAGAGGTAGGAGGTTTATGTGAAGGGGAAACAGGGCAGGTGTGTTGGTGTTGGGTGCTGGGTTGCCCTGGGCAAGTGCCCAGCATAGCTCAGGACTTGTGCTGGTGATACAGTGCTCTAGGGGCATTGCTTTCTCTCTCCTCACAGATGACCCCAGGGGAAATGAAGTTTGCTGTGCATGTGGAGTCAGTCCTCAACCGTGTGCCCCAGCCAGAGTACAGGCAGCTGCTGGTGGAGGCTATCTTAGTGCTCACCATGCTGGTGGACACGGAGGTACACACCATCGGTGGCATCATAGCTGTGGAAAAGATCTTGCACACGGCCAATGACCTCTTCTATGAGGAGCAGGTAGGGGCCACAGACTGCATGCAGGGCTGCTGGCTGTGTTCCCCACAGTAACACAGGGTTTACTCACCTGGAGGGTCCTGCCTGTTGTCCCCATTGTTTTTCCAGGGCACAGCAAAGATGTAGTGTCCTCCTCCTACTGCTCGCTATTGATGTGTCACGCTGCGAGTGGCAAGGGAGGATGCTTTGGGTGGAAGGTGGTGAGGGGGCTGCCCTTAGTCCTAACGCTGCCTTTTTCCTACCCTGTCCCAAATGCAGAAAGCCCTGGGTGCTGATGACCACATGCTGGAGAAGGATCCCGCGACGGGGATCTGCAGCCTGCTGTACGACAGCGCACCGAGTGGCCGGTTTGGCACCATGACCTACCTGTCCAAGTCGGTGGCCATGTACGTGTATGACTTCCTGCCCACCGACGGCTGCTCCATGCAGTAGCTCTTGCAGTTCCTCTCCCTGAGTTGCAGACACCATGGGAGAGTTGTTTCAGACAGCTTTTAAAGATGGGCATTAGGCTAGTTTGCAGGTAGCCTGCATGGCCATCTCTCTTCCCAGTCCTGGCCTGTCGGTGGGTGAGTGGCTCTCCCGAGGAACTCCACAGGAGGCACGTGTGCTAAGCTGACCTGTGGCTGCGTGCAGCCTGTGGAGCAAGGGCTGGCAGGGAAAGGCTGAGCTTTGAAGCCTGCTTGTGTTAGAAGCGTCTGCCTGCACAGCTCCTCCTGGGCCATCACCCCTGGAGCAGCCTGTGTTTGAGGGAGATGGAGAGGATCCCCCTCACCAGGTGTGTGTACTCAGTACTGCAGCACTCCCTGGACAGCTCATGCTCTCCCTGCCTCTGGTAGATATGAGGTTTTTAACCTGTTCTGTGCTGCTTTCCATTCCAAATCTGCAGGGTTTATACTAGTGTAGGCTGGAGCTCTTGTTCTTCCTGCTGCTGATGGAAAAGCTTTGTTAGAGGATTAGGGGATGCTGCCTGAGCCTCTCTCCCAGCACACACAAAATCAGAACAGTCCAACCCAGCCACAGTTGTGCTGCTTGGAAGTAGGCAGCCCATCATGACCCCTACAGGCATTCTGTGTGCAAAGCTGGGGAGGCTGTGGGAGCCAGCAGCATCCCAAGGTAGTAACAGATCCCTGTTACCACCAAGCTGTGAGGACAGGCTTTTGGATGTGACCGTCCAGCCAATTCCTCATCCACTGAACAGTCCGTGCTGTCTGTTCTGTCCCTGGCAGTGTTGCTAATGGTTAAGTTGAAGGTGCCTGAGTTTATACGTGCCCTATGAAGCAGCTCTGAGCTGGGCTGCTTGGCTCGGTGTTACCTGTGCCATCACAGATGTGCTCTTCATGCTCAGCTCGGGCCTCTGCCCCGGCTCCCACAGCCTTGCACAGGAGAGGGGTGATGACTTTAGAGCAGGTCCCAGCTCTGCGCTATCCTGCAGGTCAAACCCTACAGAGGATGGTGTGGTTGGACTGATGGGGATCAGGCACACACACCACAAAGTGGTGGGGGAGTGGGGTTATAGAATTATAGAACAGGTTAGGTTGGAAGGGACCTTTAAAGGTCATCAAGTCCACCCCCATCCTGCAACGAGTAGGGACATCTTCAACTAGATCAGGATGCTCAGAGCCCCGTCCAACCTGATCTTGATTGTTTCCAGGGATGGGGCATCTACTGCCTCTCTGGGCAACCTATGCCAGTGTTTTGCTACCCTCATTGTAAAAGATTCCTTCCTTAGATCTAGTCTGAATCTAATCTGTTTTAGTTTAAAACCATTACTCCTTGTCCTATCACAACAGGCCTTGCTAAAAAGTTTGTCCTCCTTTTTCTTATCAGCCCCCCTTTAAGTACTGGAAGGCTGCAACAACATCTCCCTGGAGCCTTCTCCAGGCTGAACAACCCCAACTCTCTCAGCCTGTCCTCACAGGAGAGGTGTTCCATCCCTCTGATCATCTTTGTTGCCCTCCTCTGGACTTGCCCTAACAGGTCTATGACTTTCTTCTACTGGGGGCCCCAGAGCTGGACACAGCACTGCAGGTGGGGTCTCACCAGAGCAGAGGGGCAGAATCACCTCCCTCGACCTGCTGGCCACACTGCTCTTGATGTAGCCCAGGACATGGTTGGCTTTCTGGGCTGTGAGTACACATTGCTGGCTCATGTCCAGCTTTTCATCCACCAGCATCCCCAAGTCCTTCTCCACAGGATTGCTCTCAGACCCTTCATTCCCCAGCCTGTACTGATAGTCAGAGGTTGCCCTAATCCATGTGCAGGACCTTGCACTTGGCCTTGTTGAATCTCATGACATTTACATGGTCCCACTTTCAAGCCTGTCCAGGTCCCTCTGGGTGGCATCCTGTCCCTCAGGTATGTCAACTGCACCACTCGGTGTCATCTGCAAACTAGCTGAGGGTGCACTTGGTCCCACTGTCTGTGTCACTGATGAAGATTAAACAGTCCTGGTCCCAGTACGGACCCCTGAGAGACACAACTTGTCACCAATCCCCATCTGGACATTGAGCTGTTGACCACTACCCTCTGGATGTGACCGTCCAACCAATTCCTCATCCACCAAACAGTCCATCCATCAAATCCATCTCTCTCCCATTTAGAGAGGTTGCTGTCAGGGATCATGTCAAAGGCCTTACAGAAGTCCAGATAGATGACATGCGTAGGTCTTCACTTGTCCACTGATGTAGTCAATCCATCAGAGAAGGCCACTAGGTTGGTCAGGCTGGCTGTCTTGAATCACCTCCATGTGCCTTGGCACAGCTTCTAGGAGGATCTTGGTCACACCTCATGCAGCTGTTCTCACTACTGCAGTGGTTACTAGTGAAAATCTCTGGTGTGCCCTGTGGCCTGGATGGCTGCATGTTTTCCTGGAGCTGGGTCTGGGTTGCCACATCCATTCTGGCAAGCACAGAGAACATATCCCTCTGCCAGGTGGATACCACAGAGGGTGATGATCGCCACTTTAACTCACCTCTTAAGCACCTTTCCCCCTGAACTGCTGCGCTCTGCCTGCAGCGCTCCTGGTCCCTAGTGCTCCCTAGGCTGCTCTTTATAACTGGAGGGGTGGCCATGGCCCTGTGTGCGAAGATCTGCCACTGCTGTGGATCAAGCCAGCTCTGGAGCAGCTCCCCATAGCAACTGACATTTTCCTGGATGTTTTCTGCTCTTCAGGTTTGTTTGGCCTTAAAGCTGGTCTTGAGAGTAGTTCTGCGTTGTCTCTCAGGGCCGATTCCTGGCGGTAGCAGTTATTCTGTAGTTGTTGCACGCTGATTCCTCCACACTAGTAAGCCCCGCCTCAAGCAGAGGAGGCTTGAAGAGTCTGTGAGCCCCAGCCCGACTTCTTTGGCCCCCCACAATCAGGGGGAAGCTGCATTTGGGAGTCAGCAGGGCTCTGGCTGAGCGCGGGGAGCCCCAGCAGAAAGCACAGGGCACCCCCGGGGCTCCTCTGGGAAGCGGGAACAGGGCTGCAATCCTCTGGTGGGCGGGTGTGTGCAGGCCTCTGGCCTTTTTTAACGACGGTTCGTACGTTTTTAAAAGAAAAACCACCGCTCCGAGCCGCGTGGGGTGGGGGCCCCTAATAAAATCTCTCCAACGCGAGTGTGCGGCCTGTTGTCCTCACCGGGGCGGGTGCGGGGTGGCGGGGG